TGTAAGAACCGCGTGGTTAATTGCTTTTTAGTTTTTAACTGAAGTGTGTCCTGCTGGGGTGGTGTGTCACTGTCAGTCCTGGGGGTCCTGAGCCCCTTTGGCAGGATTTAGGTTTGTTCTTAAACCAGCCCCGCTTCACCGTCATATGGCTTTTATTTCGTTTTGCCTCAGAAAATGTTTTGACGGAAAATAGGGGAGAAGGAGAGGTGTTTGCTGTGAGGAGCCGTGCTGCGGGATGTTGGTTTCTGTGTCACTGCAGGTGGAGGCTGCGTTGCTGGTGAAACGTGTTCTCCGCTCGCAGCAATCTGACCTTTTCCCTGGGGAAAGCCGGTGAGGAAACCCCGCGTGCAGTGTCCTTGTCCCAGGGCTCGAGATTGCTGTTTCCGCTGCGTGCTGTGTGTTTCCTAAATCAGCAGCTACGGTTCCACTGGTCCGCTTCGCGGTTAATGTTACAAGAGGCGCCTTATGTTCCTTCACACATTTATTATCGTAATTAATTTTCTTGTAATTGTTTCTGGAAAGCAGTGAGCTTTAGCTTGTCTCCAGGGTCTGAGAATACACTAATAGCGATATGGAAGAATCCTTTAATGGCAAATTTGGAAATATATGGAATTTTCAATTCTTAAGTAGTTTGTTTTGGATTATATTAATGAGTCATGGGAAAACAAGCCAGAATATTCATCTTTTATAGGGTCAGCCGTATGGGTGTGGAATTTTGAGAGGTGTTTGTACAACCTTTTTTGGAGACCTCTGGTGTTGGAGGCAGAGCAATCTCCCCACACAACTTATTTGTGTGTTTATGTTGATGTACTTGAATGTTCTGTGCTATAGTTTGAATCAATTTCTAGTCACAACTACAAATGGCTTAGGGAGCAGCTTATTCTGCTTTCTTTAAAGCTGGCTCTTATGTTTGGTTTTGGTTTGGGTTTTTTTTTTTTTTTTTAAAGATATTCTCTATTTTAACTTAAACATTCCCAGTTACTTTAATCTTTTCCTGTATATTATGCATTTAAGCTCAGATCATTCGTGATTCTCTTCTCTGGACTCATTCCAGTTAGTTCAAATACTTGATTCAAATTTGAAGGGCAGTATTCAAAACTGGGTAGAGTACTGCAGCTGAATTCTAAACACAGGTGAGTATTATGGAAGATTTATGTGCTATCAAAGCTTCTGTTTACACATTCTGATATGGATGGCGTGCTGTTGGCATATTCAGCTTCTGTTCCAGCTTAGACTCCAGGTCTTTTATGTGCAACTCTAACCTAGTAAGTTGTTCCCCTTCCAGTTGATCATTCCTGCCTAAATAGAAACACTTGCATTTCTTCTTATTGAAGTTCCCTTCCAATTTTGTTTTTCTGTTTTATGTTTTTTTTTCTAAAAAAAAAAAAAAACCCAACCTTCTCTGGTTAGTAAGGAATGGATTAGAATTCAGAATTTTCTTCCATCATGTTTTCATTTTGTTGCAGCTTGCTGCCATCTCTAATATTAGTAAACATAATCTTAATCATTAAATAACTAGATTTAGGAGGGTTCTCTGTGGACCTTTGATGGCCTGTATTACCTCTTGATTCTATTTTTCTGCATGACCTTGCAGTCAAGATGAAAAGCAGTGTCAATTTCATATTAAAATGGACCTATGCCACAAACTAAATTCTTATTACGTAGGGAAGTACGTTTTCTGACTCTAATTAGGCCAAGCCTATGTAATTCCAGGGCTGGCAGGAGAAAATATTCCAAGCTTGTCTTTTGCGCTTTGATCTTTAGCAGCAGCATGTTTATTCCATAGATGTGCAAGGCACAGAGCACCCTGAAATAGATATGGAGAAGTCTGTCCTTAGTAAAGAGGATTTGAAAATGTATTTGGGCCACACAGTAATGCCCATCTTAGCTCCTTTTTCCTTCCCATGCATTCCCTAGGTTTACCTCATCTGAGCCTTTAGTCTTTTATAGGGCAAGAAGACCACAGTGAGCAACTCTACTCTGCTTTTGGTGCCTTGTACTACAGAGCATTTTCCTCATTCACCAGGTAGAATCTTTAAAAAAAGTATAAGCTAGGTACTAAATCTCTTGTGTAATATGCCACAGCTGTCTCTTACTTCGGACTTATTTTCTTTGCATATCACTATACTGTTTGAGCACTTTCCTGGTGTGTAAATTAGATCTGTATGACAGTATGTTAACTAAAATTCATCAATCTTTACAGTTCTTTCTTGGGAGGTTTTCCTTCCCTGCTAACGGAAGCTGCCTTGAGCTGTACAGAAACTTCCAGCATAGCAGAGAAGCTTTTCTCCTTTTCTCAGTCTGCCTGTCTCTAGCTTCAAGGTGGCACAAACTAGAAGGCATTTGGTGTCACACAGTTAACTCTCTCTAAACTCCTGCCTTTGCAGGATGTAACAGTAACTGGGAGAAAAAGGGGGTCTCCTAAGAGTGTTGTGTGTTCTCGCATCTTCAAAAGAAGACTGAAACTGAGTAGCTGTTAAAATTCTACAGGAAAAGAAAATAGATAAGGAAAAGTTTACTTTCTCAAATGCTTCACGGCATTGATAAATCCTATCCTGAACTATTTCAGTAAGATCAGGTAACTCCTCAGTGTAGTGACAACTGCATCTAAGGCATACATCCAACTGTTATTTAATAAGGCCCACAATTATACAGGAACATATCTGTTAGAGGTGGAACGATCCTACCAGATGAGCAGATTTCTTTCCATTAACCTTAATATCTTGATTCACCAGATATTTTCAGTCTTTTATGTACATGTCTTGAATTTCATCGTAATTTGCTTTAAATTGCAGTAGGCTTTTATTCTTTGCAGCTAATTTGAATGGACTTTTCAGATATTTCTGAATTTTTAAAAAGTAGGGACATTAACTCTTTGTGAAGTGACAGGGCTTTTGGAGACACTGAATACTTCTTTTTATTCTGCTGATATGTAGAAAGAATATACAGCTTGTGAGTTGTAGTGTCAGAATACCACAAATTATAGTTAGTAGAAATGTCTTGTCTCAAAGTTATTACAAGTTGTAACTATTATGCTGTTGCTTTAAAGTTTGCTCCCTCCATCCCTTTTGTTTGTTAAAAGGTGATATGGATAATACCACAGTTTTTTTTTATTCTGGTGTTCATACTGCTCTTGTGGACTGGAATACTTAATCTGTCTTAGATGGTGCAATTCAAGAGGGATGTGACTAATTGAAATTAGTCCAGAGATCATTAAAAGGACCGATCAGTTCTCTTCCTGCCCCCCGCACTGGACCTAAAAGCAATACTTAGGAAAAACAAAATTTCCCTAGTTTAATTAAAAAAAAAAGAAAGAGAGAAAGGAGACTTTGAATACATAAAGTTGTGACAACACTTTTTAGTTATTTTATGGGAGTTCACAGAGGGAAGGACAATGCAAATAACTTTGTAGTAAAGGAAGGCTCAGCTAAGTGCAAGGAAAAGCTTTGTGAGAGGGCAATGCGTTGGAGAGGTGGCCCTGCTGGGGTTAGCGAACCTTCTTAAGCTGAAGTTGTTAAGACCACTTTGGAGGCTGTCTAGACATGAGTTGGCCTCATAGTGGAGGGCTTGAACTAAATGGTTGCTTAGGTGCTTTCTAGCTGTTCTTATGAATATTTTAATAACTTTTCATGCACTCGGGTACTTGGGAAGTTTATTGTTTCTTGTTTGTAAGTCATTCTGCCTTAGCTGAGACACAGTAGCTTGCCCAAGTGTGTTACATCTTGAAAATTCAAGGAAAATGTAAACTGACTATTTCATGATTTTGTATTAGACTAAAACATTCATTATGATGAATTATGATAACAACCTTTATGATGACTTGAGAGTACATGAATGGTTGGGTATCACAACTCTGATATTCTAGCTCTATGGTGAGATAGTGAACACAGCCCGTGTTCATCCTTGTTTTTAGGGGTTATCCTCATTCTGGTCATAGTTTAGTGTGTTGTTCTTGCTGACTGGTTCTGATGTTTGGCATTTTGAGGTAAACCAAAAATGATTCCACTACTGCATACAGTTGATACAATGCAGAAATGTGAATAGTAACTTTACCAATACTTTGAAACCAAGTATTTTTACTTCTCACTACCACTGCATTCATTTAGTTTTTATTTCTGAATCCCAAGAATCCCTAGTTCTTCTCTTTCTCTCATCTTCATAAATATTATATCTGGGAGTTAGAATTACTGCTGTAGGTGAGAAATTTATTACAATAAGTTCTTGTGGGGTTTTTTTTAAGAATATGATTTATTTGTAAATAGCCTAAATACAACATAGCTGAACTGTACATTATTTTGAAGCATACTTTTACAGCACATTTGACTTAAACTTATTTGTTTCTTCTGGAAAGTACTGTAGTTTTTCCGTATCATGTAACACAAGTGATTACTCTGTTACGAGGAAAGCATTTTAAGCTAAGTTAAATCAGGAGTATTCTAATCTAGATGCTTTTGGTCTCTTATGTGGAAAACAAGAGACAAACTTTGGCAATTATGTATTAATGTAGGTGAAAATAATACTCTCTCTCTTATTTTAGGGACCTGTGGGATTTAAGAATATCTCTCCTAAGAAAATTTCCTGCTTCTGCAGCCTTCCATGTTAGTGTGCAATTGATGATTTCACTTGAAATACCGGTCAGAAGGAATTAACAGTAGGCAACGTGTAATTGCTTTTTAAAAATGTTAAAAGTTCAGCAGTGTGTAACAGCTGACGGAGTACCCAAGAAAAAGACATGTATTTGTGACATTTGCTGTAAACAGTTTAAAACTCCATCAAAATTAGCTAGGCATTATCTGATACATACTGGTCAAAAGCCATTTGAATGTCATGTGTGCCATAAAACGTTTAGGCAGCTAGTCCACCTGGAGAGGCATCAGTTAACCCACAATCTGCCTTTTAGGTGTATTGTTTGTCATAGAGACTTCAAAAACTTTATCACTTTCTTAAAGCATCAGCAGCTTCATAATGAAAATTATCGAAATTATACCAAGCAAGCAGAAAACTCTCTGAATTCTGAGCAAGACAGGGTCACTCGTGGCATATTTCCCTGTTCTGTGTGCTGTACATCTTTTACAACTGAAGAGAGGTGGATGCTGCATCAGTGCCTGGAGGCAGATCATCGACATGGTGCCAGAAGGAGAAAGAAAACTCATGCTTGTGAATCGTGTAACAAGGCATTTCCATCAAGATCTAAGCTAGAAAGACACTTCCTTATTCACACTGGCCAGAAACCTTTTAAGTGTTCTTCATGCGGTAAATCTTTCAGGCAGTCAACACACTTGAAAATCCATCAACTCACACACACAGAAGAAAGGCCTTTTCAGTGCAGCTTTTGTCAGAAGGGGTTTAAAATACAGAGCAAACTGATGAAGCACAAAGAGCTCCATGCCAGAAATAAGAGTTCTCCTAATACTCTGTACAAAGCAAAGACTCTTAAATATCCCAGACCACAGAACCTGTTGGAAGGAAAGAGGGGTAGTTTTGAGAATGCTGACACTTATAAGTCGCAGGAGAAAGACCCACATGATGTTCACTCCATTGCTAGTGTACTCTTTCAGTGCCCAGCATGTGAGCAGTGTTTTGAAATGGAGCAGGTTTTAAATTTGCACAAATGTTGTTATCTGAGAGATGGCAAAAGTTCAAATAATAGTACAACACCACACAGCCACACAGTCAGCATGAAAAATAAGATCCAGATGAAACGGAAGTGTACTGGAGGGAAGGCAACAGATTTTTCTCTGACTGACAGAAAAAAGATAAAATCAGGTCACTTTAAAAGTCCTGACCTGGTTGCAGCTAGAGATCGACATTCTGATCAGCGTGCTTCCACTAAACCTTTCAAGGCTTGCTGTAGCAAGCTTGACACATGCAAGAGACTTGGTAATCAGATGAGAAGAACGTTTGCTGTGCCATTACCTTGTCAGGAGCACCAGCAACCTCACGACTTTGGAATTAATTTAAAAGGTATGCTTACTGGTGAAAGCAAGTTAAACACCAATGATTCACTGGATAATAACAATGATGCTTTTTATGGTTCATCAGATGATGGTTTCTTTGATAATCCAGAAGTACCTCACTGTGCTTTTTCAGCTTCTGCTAAAAATATACATAACAGGCACAAAGTGTGTAAATGTGACAGATGTGAAAAAATCTTTCCATCTTCATCCAAACTTCAAAGACATTATCTTATACACACGGGACAGAAGCCCTTTGGCTGTAATGTTTGTGGGAAGACATTTAGACAGTCAGCTCACTTAAAAAGACATCAGCTCACCCATACTGAAAAGACACCCTGTAAAAGCCCTGTTTGCCAGGTAGAATTTGAAAACGTGAACAAACTTTCAAGTCATCAGCGAGATCACATTGAGTTTAAGTCTTCTCAGCCTGTGGGTCATTCGGGTTATTCTCAAACACCTTCACAGGCATCTGGCTTTCAAGAACTTGAGCTGATTCAGACAAACCAAGCAGCTGAAATCGAAGTTGAAATCAAGTCAGGGGACTCTCTTCTTGAAACCAGTGGTAGAAACACACGGAAACACAATTTGCGTAGAAAATTGTTGGAAACAGAGCAAAGCTGTTGCAGCTATGGTCATGATTTTTCTGAAGGTACTGAAAAAAGTGAAGTTGTCGACAAATTGTATCAATGCAGTATCTGCTCTAAACCTTTTAAATCACCTTCTAAGCTTGAAAGACATTACATGATGCATGCTGGACAGAAGCCTTTTGTCTGTTCAGTTTGTGGTTCAGACAGGCCCCACATTTGAAAAGACATCACCTTATTCACTGTAAAGAGAGCCTAAAGCTGAGTTCCACTGAGCAACAACCAGAGAATATATTGTTTTTATCAAAACTGGATAAAAGTTAATACTATGAGGCTTTGAGGAACCCAGTCTAGTGGGTGGTGGCTGTAGCAGGAGGGTTGGAAATAGGTGATCTCTAAGGTCCTTTCCAACCAACACCGTTCTATGATTCTATTAAATTATATATCAAAATTTTTGGTTACATAATTATTAAAAGGCTTATGTTAGACCAAACAGTTGACTGAAGGGGATTATGTTTTTCTGTTATGGACATGACCTGGTGAAGAGTTAATTTACTGTCTTCAGAACTGTCTATTTGATATAATTTGTGATGAATGTGAGATGACATTTAAAACAAAAATGATGCAACAAAAAAAGACACTTTGCATTTTTTTCTAAATTAATTTATAAATACACATTCTTACCATATTCACAGTGTTGCAGCAATCTGCAGTGCTCTGTGAACCAGATATTTTAAGTTGTACCTTTTCCCATGTAGTATTTTCTGACATTATGCTGTCACTATCATAGTTTCTGATAAATATCAGAAAAGTAAAGATAAAAGGGTAATTTCCAGAATACAGAAAAAATGGTCTATTTACTTTCTTGTGGCTCCCTATATGTTGCAAACAAAGGACACTTGCTGTATTTATTTCATACTTTATCTAAAAATAACAGATTTTTTTTTTAAATATGCAAAGAGAAGAAAGTAGAAAAAGGGGCAAAAAATTAATAAGAAAAAATGTTGATGTGGCATTATAGAACAGTTAATAGAAGAAAATTAACTGGTTTTTAATGTGCTTGGAGATCTATGGATGAAGAATTGGATCTTTTTCATTTTTTTTTATGATAAAATATAAGCAGACAATGCTAAAATAGCAGGGCTTATAATCAGTCTGTTTCACCACTTCATTATCTCCACTTCTTTGAAATCCCTTGCCTTTTCTATCTTTTTTGGCCGATTCATACAGTACTATACAATACAATTCTGCAAGAAAAGAGGACAAGAAATTATCATTATCGTTACAGATGGGATTACTACCTGTTCCGGTCTCCTTTCCTTCTAGCATATATACTGCACCAGTAGAAAAAATGCTTTCTATAAGACGTGATAATAAATCAAATGAGCAGTTTTGTCAAGAAGTCGTGTTCTTGTTACATTAACTGTAAGAGATGGAGAATTGGTTTTAGCTCAAATTAAGTAATTCCAATTTTATATTAACAGAATCTGTAGTTATACTTTCTGGTAAGTAGAGAGCTTTGCCTATTGTGCCTGTGGGGCTGGCAAAAATTGCAGTGGAGCTTTATTAATTATGAACAAGAATTAAGTTGGTTTCCTTTTTTTTTTTTCCTCTGAAAAACCTACCTTTTAGGATATTTTTCCCTTGTTATGCAACTTCTGAATAGTTGAAACTTGAAATTTGTAATCCTATTTCTAAATTAATGTATCTGCAAGATACATGATATTCTTTTCACTATTTAAAGAGATTCATATTTATTTAAATAGAATGATAGATGAATTCAGCACGGTAATAATGACTGTAGTTCTATATTGAGTTTTTTTTTCTCCCTGTGTGAATTGTTTCATATTGTGGTATATTAGGTTATGATTCATGTTAAAAGAAATGGAGATGATCTGCTCTCATTACCAAATACGGTATAGAAAGAGAATAACAGGACGTAGAAATGTGTAACTAAACAGAATTGCCTAATGGTATGGAAAGAGAATAAAACAAGATGCAAGTCATCATTGGTGGGATGCACTCTTGGGATGGTTGCTGACTGCAACTGGGATTTTGAATACATTGTGTCACCCCATTATTGTTTATTGTTGTCTTTTGTAATACTTGTATGGATTGGAAAGTGTTGCGACAAATGGCAACATTAACTTCCTTGTCAAAAGTACATGGTGAGGCGTTAAGAGACACATATCGTAGAAATTGGGAAGAAGAATTTTTATATTAAGTAAAAGAATTTACTAACTTTCTAGAGAAGGGGGGACTGAGACAGAGGGTTTGAAGTTAAAGAGTGACTGATTAAGAATAGCTGTTCAGACAATGTATGATTAAGTTTGCTGTGCTTGTGAAGACAGGATGAGAGGATCAAAACTGGGATGATAAGGGAAGGAACTGCTAATCAAAACGAGATGAGAGAATGCAACACCTGCAAGGCCACAAGATAAAGGAGACTCCTCGGACCCCTAAACTGGCTGAAAACCAGCCTGGCCCTTTGGACTGCGGCCAAGAGACCAGAGAGCACTACGCAAGCGCAGAAGGACTCTTTAGATAATTATAATATGAGGCGGGGCTAGGAAATGAATATGAATGAATGTATTGTGAAACTTAATGGATATGCAATGTTTCGGGGAATAAATAGAGGAATAGGTTTTGTGGAAAGGTGCGCTTGTTGGTAGAGCAGATGCTCCCCTCGTGCCCAGCACTGCTTGCTTATTCTCCACCTACGAGCGAAATAAAAATTTTAACTTTTTTTTAAAGTTGTGGAAGTGCCTTCGTTGATAACAATTGCATGTTAGAACAATAGGGTTTGTTTCAGATATTTTTTGTTACAGAAATAAAATAGACAATTAAAGATAAGATTTTCCTTAAGGAGTCAGTCATTTTTAAAAACGCTATGCTTGAGAGTAATGTTTAGAGAATACTAAACTTGGTATGTTTTGAAAATACCAATTTGAGTAAAATGAGGGACAGGTAATACAGAAAGCCACTTTTCAAGGATGGATAGATACACGTGGCAAGTGTTACTGTCTGATTAATTTGGAAACTACTGTATCTTTGGGCTCCATGGAATTTCAGGAGGGCAGTAAGGGCCACTTTGTGATTTTAAGGGGATTATAGTATAAACTTAACTGGAAAGCGGTAAAGCGGTTTCTAAGAGTCAGGAGAAAAAAAAATCCGAGGTTGAAATCCTGTCTCTTTTGCAGTTAACAGTAATGGTCTGCAAGTACTTTGGAGAATTTGAGCTACAGTGGGGTTTTCCCAGTGTTAACACTTTGTGTTGTTCATTGGTGTGTTAGTAATTTTCCATAACAGTTCAAGGCAAGTTCAAGCAATCAATCTTTGAAGCCTCTTTGGTGGCAGAGACATCACCTGTCATTTTGTTAGAATGAGCTGATGGCTAATAGTAATAACCTCATAGTACTGAAGTAGTGGATTTTTGTAAGACTATATGCAGAACCAAAGCATATTGTAAAGAGGAAGACAGTGGGTCCTCCTGTGTCAATATTGAGCTTCCCCTAAGGAGAGCTTTTCAGACCGCATGGATTCAGCTTTGAGGTAGTTCTATGTGGAATAAAAGAAGGGTCAAATATTTTAAAACAAGAAGAAAAAGGTAAAAGGGATTTTTTTTTTAAAGACAAAGTGTATTGCAGTTCCAGGGAATTTAGTATTGTATTAACTGATTGCATCGTCCATTTTCTATCTAGGAAATGTGGGTATGAATAACTTTAAAATGTTTTAAGATTTTGATTGCTGTGCTATCCTTGCAATGTTTGCAGAAAGTCAAAACTTGCAAAATATAGAAGTATTCCTATATATGTCTAGAGAAAAATTCAAAAAGGAAAGAAAGACATCATAAACCACAGAAAAACTGTTTAATCACTTTTGTAGCTGCTTCTTACTGAGTTTTTGATTTCTCAATTGTCTGTGATCTGCTTTCTCTGTTATACGCAGAGCCAACAAGAAAAGTTAGTGAGGCAAATGAGAGAGAGACACCTGGCTGCCTTCTAGTATAAATGTAAAACTCTGAAGGTCATGATCTCGCAACTGTGGCTCACGTGAGTTAACACTTAGATAAGTACAGATGGATGACTCTTAAATCAATAAAGAGTATGGATTTGTTCCTTCTAATGGCCCCTTGTAATAATGTTGAAAATGCCTAGATCTCCTAAATAACTAAAGGGGTCACGGTTCATATTCCTAGCACAAGGTTTTGTAGATTTTTAAAGTGCAAGTTTTAACTTAATAGCCTAGTTTTATGGTCTGACAGCTATGGATGAGATGTGTCTGAGAGGCAGTTATCATAAGGAAAATTGAAATTACTGAAGTGACTTTTCTGTGCTCTCATATACCTTATTTCTCCACGTTGCACAAATTAATTGGACTTCTTCGTATAATGACTGTATGAAGCAGCTTTTAAACAACATCTTTTTTAGCATCTGTTAAAAAAAAATGAATCTTCCAAGCCTATGCATGTGAAGGAGAAATCAGCCTTATGCCAACAAAATCACTCACATGTAGAATTGATCATTTCCTTGTTCAGAAACTGCCATTCTAACATGAAAGTGTCGTTATGTCTGCCCTGACTTATCACAAGTCTTTGAATGCTGTTTTACTTCTGTACTCTGCCATTCTAGTTCCTGTCTGCTTCCAGGATATGCTAATGTGTGGCTTGATTCTGCTATACAACTGACATAGTTTGGATACATGGCTGAAATTTTTCATCTTCACTGGGATCCCTCCACTCTCCCTGCTCACAATTTATATGGATCTGCAAAACCCTGTATGCGACTTACGGAGAGTCACGGAGCTGGTTGTTGCATGTGTGCTGCCGTGGCACGCACAATGGTGCCTGAGGGTGTGAGAAGCTGACAGGCTATGATGTAGACTGTGGCCTTTTCCACTGAAAGTGCTCTGGGTATGTAGGGTAGTAAGAGCATATGGAAATGGTGGCTCTCTAGGTTTGCCTATGACTTCTTCACCAGCTGCATCACTGGAATGTGCCTTGCTGACATAGTGTAGGAGGGGAATCTGTGTGGCCACTGCTGTATAAAACAAGTAAAATCCTCTTCCTAAGCTCAAGAAACCAGCTGTGGGTGGTGTCTCCCATTTGTACCACTAATGCACTGCACTCAGTTTCTGTTGACCTCAAGGAAAACATCTTCCTGGTATGAAAATTTGCCTTATTTGTGCATTTTTTAAAGAGTATAGTTTTTAATGCTTAGTATGTGTTTGCAGAAGTAGCTTGCTGAGCTACATAAACTCAGATTATTTCCTCAGTTTCTACTTTATTTTGATTCTAAGAGGATCCTGAAAATACACCTGAGCAG